GGTAGGGGGCCTCAGCACAGAGGATCTGCAGGCACCAGAATAAACCTAGGGACTGCGGAAGGACTCAGCAAGCAACCCAGACAGAGATGCACAGGACCCCGTCACAGGTGAGGATGTCTTGATGATGGCAAGATGGTCTGAAAAATCTACAAAATTATCCCTGAGATTTTAGGGCCATTGCTAAACATCTGCCCTTCTCTGAGCATTGCGCCATCTCTCACGATGCCCAGTCCCCCTGAGCTTTTCTGCCTTCCCCACCAGACCCACCTCCCAAAAACGGGGGGTGGGGGGGAATGAAATGAGCTAAAGTGCAGACAGAGAGGGGAAAGAGAGCCTGCCCACCCTTCTCTCCCCCAGATTCACTGGGGGCAGAAGAGAATGTCTTTTCTCCGAATGAAGGCTAGAATGTCCATCATCACATGGGCCAAGGACTTTTAATTGAGGCTGTATTTGACCCCGAAAGTGCCTTGGGTATAGGTGAGAAAAATCACGAGACAGTCTGTTTTCATCAAGGGACAGGGGGACATAAAGCCAGTGACAGTTTAAAGGAGCAGCGGGAGGTCAGGGCTGCTCTCGGGAGCACGGCCTCCTGCACGGAGCTTGTTTGAAGACAGGTTGCACGTGGGGTCCTGCGGCCTGACCCCACTGCTTGAGGCGACCGGGTGGGGGCTGTCGGTTGGCCAGCCAGCTTGCTCCTCCCCTTTTTCTGCAGTCATGAGTCACCTTAGGGCATGCGGCCACCTAGCAAGGAGCTGTACCTCCCAGCCCTTCTCATGGGGGGGGGGGGGGACATGTGACTGAGTCATGCCAGGAGAAAGTGAGTGGAAGGGATGTGTCCAGGGCCCCGAAAACAGCGGATATGCATCCTCTGTTCGCTTTTCCCTTACCCCCCGGGGAGCCGGGATGGGGCCCTAGAGACGGAGGACCCTGAGTGACCAGGTGGAGCAGAGCCCCCTCAAGCCTAGCACACTTATCTCAGACTGTCCCATGAAAATGAAGTCAAGTTCTCCTTTTGCTGTGAGTGGTAGGGCATCTCACACCCTGAGAGCTACATCTGCCCCGGTTTTCTGGACCACGTCCAACCCACTGGCCTCCCTGCAGAGAGCAGCCCCTCACTGGCCTGGTACAGAAGCTCTGGGGAGAAAAGCTTTGCCATCAAACCCAGACCTGCTACTCAGCTGTGCAACCCTGGGCAAGTAGCTTTGCCCCCCTGAGCCTCCGTTCTCTCCTGTGTCAAATGGGATTCATAATCCTTCTACACACCTTTGCCGCGAGCATCCAATGACAGGGCACAGGTAACAGCCCAGCACAGTGCTTGGTGCGCAGTAGGTCTTCAACACAGTCAGCTCCCTCTCCCTTCCGCTGCTCCCAGCAGCCTTTGCTGCTGAGCGCTGCTGGCCTCCTGTCAGCCCCCGCCCCACTGTGACGCAGACTGAAGTTTTCTTTCTTTCGAGTAAGTGACAGGTTCAGGGAGGCGGAACAGATCGAGTACTTAGAATTCACAGTGCACCATTCTCTGAAGTCAGATTCCCAACATTCTCGTCCTAGGGCCAGGCATTAAGCTGGCTGTCCTGGGCTCGTCTCTGAAGGGTCTCCCATGAGGGGAATTTTCCACAGTCTGGTCCGCCCTCCGTCCCAGGGCTAAGGAGATTTGTCGGGGACATCTCCCTCCTCTGCCAAAGCCCTTTGCCGGCTAACCCCCCTCCGGGGCCCGTCCGTGGGATGCAGGGAGTGGGGCTGGAGCAAGCGTGTCCTGTTGAGCAACGATCGGAATGTTGTGGGTTATGTAATAGGAATATTAATTCTCTCGTAGACAGCGCAGGGCTGCTGGGGGCTGCTCGTGCCTTGTCTGGTCCGCTGGCCTCCTCCCCACCGTGCGTGTGGAGCCGAAGCCGCTGAGCCCTGGGAGAGGACGTGATGTACATGCGGCAGCAGGTGGAGGTGGGCTGGCTGGGCCCGTGTGGCAGGAGCTCGCTCTGGCACGCCCAGCGCCCCGTTCAGCCCTTCAGCCCTTCAGCCCTTCAGCCCGCTCGGTGCAGCCTGACTTGGTGCAGAGACCAGCAGTGCAGGGTGCTCACCGCCACGTTCCACGTTTCCAGAGAGCAGGTCGAGGAAAGCAACAGAGCCATGGGCCTCCCACATTGACCTCCTCTGGCTGGTGTGGGCAAAGGGCGGGAGGGGGCTGGGCTCTTAGGTGGGCAGAGGAAGGAGCTAGGCTCTCTCCCGGTGGGCAGAGGTTGGGAGCTCTCCCCTGCTCCCCCACATCTCAGGTTCACCTGGTTTTGCCTCCAGCGAAGCCGGCTCACCTTGCTGTGTGAACGTGGCAGCAGGGGCTCCTCGACTGTGGTGTGAGCTCCTGGCACGCAGGGGCCTGTGCGGCTTCTCCCCGAGACGTAGGGGCTGGGCCTGTGCGGCTTCTCCCCGAGACGTAGGGGCCGGGCCTGACCTCCGTCTCCAGGCCGTGCCCCTACGTGCTCAGTGGCCTTGGCTGACTGACCGAGAGCACGGATTTGTCTGTCTCCCAGGTGTAAACCCTTTCCTCACCCACCTGGAGCTCGTGGCCTCTGGTTTGGAACCCCCACCCCACCCCCATCTGCCACTTCATCAGCTGTGCCGTCTTGGACATGATGTTGAAAACAAATCAACATGAGGAGCGAGTTTCTCCTGGAGCTGGAGGTCTGGGGACGGCACGAAACACAGTGCGGGAAGCAGCCGGTGCCTGGCCGACTCCCTTCTCCCCGACTCGGGAGGACCTCGGTCCAAGGTGGCCTTTTGGGGCTGTGCGGGGACAAGACCTCTCCTACCTCTACCTGCCGCCCCTCGCATGTCCCGTCTCATTGCCCGGGAGGGGACCTCTGCTTTCCGGTGTCTATGAAGGGCCGTCTAGAAGGTTGTATGTTTATCAACCCTGCACAGACCTGGGCAGTGCCCTGCCCTCGAGGCCACCCACTGCCAACAGTCAGAGTGGGGTGACCCCTGTGGAGCTGTCCTGGCCACGGGAGGGTGTTCAGCAGCATCTGTAACCTCCTCCCACCGAAAGCACAAACCCCCATTCAGTTTTGACAATCAAGAAAGTTTCTAGACATTGCCAAATGTCGCCTGGGGGCAAAATCGATACTCTGTAGGAGCCACACAGAACTTGAACATTCGGTGACTCCAGCGGCTGTCTCACCTGGTCACCCTCTGGAGGGACACAGAGGCTCAGCACGCACACCCGGAGGCCAGGAGAGGCTGGGGTTTTATTCCCCCTCCCCCCACACTTAAGACAGGCTTGCAGACGGACTTGCAGGCCAGGGTCCCAGCAGGTGTCGCCTGGGGCGGGAAAGGCCAGCTTTGGTGGGGAAGAGGCGCACTTCCCCTTGGAAACACAGAAAATACGTATGGTCAAGGGCGCGGCGTAGAAACAAACCCACTTTAATTGAGAGTGTACACAGAGATCTGGGTGAGACCAGGCCACACATGGTCCTGGCCAAGGTACCTAGTCTGTTGGAAGAGTCGGGGGGGGGGGGGGGGCACAGCAGGGTCAGGGCTGCTGCAGTGAGCAGCGGGGGCCAGGGCGGGGATGTGGGGGGTTGTGGGGTGCAGAGCTGAGGCCAGGGCTTGGATGTACGTCTGTTCACATGTGTGTACAGAACATACGTGGGCACAGTGGACACAGAATCTACAGGAGCCCTCAGGGCAGCAGGAGAGGACGCACACCGTGAATGCCCAGGCCTAGCCCTGTGTCTGCCACTCAGACTTGCTGTGTGACATGGGGCAAGCTACTTAGCCCTCTGCGCCTTGGAAGGAGTCACTAGATGATCACTAAGGTTCCTTGTGACCCTGAACATTAATATTTTCAGGAGATTGAAATGAAAAATGTGTTTAAGAGCGGATGACAAGAGCCTTTGGTCTAGAGGTTCAATCCCACTAGGCCTGGTACCCCACAGGCCAGCCCCAGGCACAGGAAGGGAGCCTCTCCACCTCTCCTCCGGCCGCTCTGCTTCCAGGCTGCTCTCCACGCCTCCCCGAGCTGCGTGCGGAAGGCAGGGGGACAGCAGGGGGGGCGGAGGCTGGGCGGGGGGCGGGAAAGAGGCCAGGACCGGGGGCGCCCTGGCCTTGGGGTCAAAGTGCATCCCTCACCCTCCGCCTCCAGCGCACAGTGGACCCAGCGCCCAGCAGGCGCTCGATCAATGTCAGGAATAAGCACGGTCAAGGACACCCTGGTTCCGGGGGGGTTCTTTCCTGAACTAGCGGGGGGTGGGGGCGGGCGGGGGCAGAGGTGCGGCAGCCTGCCCTGCCTGTGTGCGTGTAAATGGTGGAGCTCAGGGTGGAGGGCAGTGTCCAGCTGCAGACAGGCCACGGGAACCCCATCTGGGAGCGGGGAGGCCGTGGGTGTGACTGGGTGGAGGCCTGGCCAACAAGGGGTCACTAGGCTTTCACAGTACAAGGGCTTCTATTCCGAACTGCCCACAGGAGAACAGCTGTAACAACAGTGCAGCCGGCAGACGGGAGGGAGCGGGGAGATGAGGCCGAGGAGGGAAGGGTCCAGGACGTGGACGTGGACCCGGAGGCGTGGCTGCACCCTTCACACAAACGGCCCCGCTGGATGTCAGGGACAGCCAGGGCCGGCGTGGGGGCAGGGGTAGGAACAGTTGAGCCAGAGGCAAGAGTTTCAGGATGGGGGGGTCCCCTGCTGCCACCTCAGCAAGCTGGGCTCGCACCAGGGGGCAGAGCTCTCTCCCATCGGGCTCTGGGTGCCGTTCTCATTCTGTCACCATTCCGGGAGGCTCCGTCAAGTGCTGGGGTCCTGGCCCCTCCGGCATCCGTGTTTCTGAGAACCCAAGGACAGGAAGGCTCCGACGCGGGTCCCTGCATACGTCCAGATGTCTCCCAACCTTGTCTGCTGCTCCGTGGAGATCCATCCCCACACGGAGGAGCTGGGACCACAGGGGAACCCAGGGATCAGAGGGAAATGGCAAGAAGGCAAAAGAAGGGACAGAGGTTCAAGCTGGGGTCCCCCAGTCTGGCGCCAAAGGTCTTCCAATACGACGGCCGTTGGGGTCTCATGGGGGGTGCGGGCATGTGGGGCCACCTCCCGTAAGGCACTGCCCAAGCCCACCCCAGCGTCCCTCCGGCTCACTGGATGGAGCATTTGTCCCGCTCTCGGGCCTGGCCCTCCCGAAGGACCTTGGCCTTGATGTACTTGAGGTCACTGTTGACGCTGGGGCGGCGGGCGAAGGGCGAGACCATGCCGTAGGCATCCGTCTCCTTGACGCGGCGCATGCAGAAGGGCCTGGGGTGGAAGCTGTCGCCGTACTGCACGGAGATCTTCCGGTGCAGGGCAGGGCTCATCTCGTGGGGCAGCTTGGCCATGCTGAAGAGCACGTAGAACATCTCGTCCACGTTGGTGTTCTTCTTGGCCGACACCTCGAAGTAGGCGCAGTTCTCGTCGCCCGACACCAGCAGCTCGGCCTCGGTGGCGGGCACCTGGCGGCAGAGCTCGCCGTGGTCGTTCTTGTTGCCGCAGATGACCATGGGCAGGTCCGCCGCCTCCTTGGTCTTGTTCTTCAGGCAGGACTTGACCTCCAGGATCTGCTTCTGGAGACGCTTGACCTCGTCGAAGGACTCCCTGCTGTCCAGGCTGAACACCAGGATGAAGACGTCCCCTGTGGGCAGAGAAACGCCAGGCGGTGAGTGTGCAGGCGGCTCCTGACAGTGCCCCCCACGAGGCCGCGCGGCTCATCTGGGCACCCCCGGATTCGGACAGTCACTTCACCCCACATTCCCCTGCAGGGCTGGAGACGGGGTGAGTGACTTAAGAGCTGGTGGGGACGTGTCAGAATAATAATAAATACGATTTCCATGAGAGGAGGGGCCCTGCCTGCCTTGCTCAGTACACAGCCCGGGCCTTGCACCGCACGCACAGCAGGAACTGAGTGCTGGCATCAGGGGCCTGGGTGCACACCCTGCTTCCTCCACTTACTAGCCATGCGGCCTTCAGGGGGCCCTACAACCTCTGCACATCTCGCCTCCCCATCTGGCCCCTGTGGATGACACTGCCTTGTGGGATGATCGCGAGGGTCACAGCAGATAATGACCGCAGAGTGACGCTGGTCAGTGGTCTTAGGTTTCAACAATGATAACGAGAACTGGCACCTTCGAGAGCCGGCATGGTCACACACTTCATGCCCATTGTTCCCTGAGTCTTTACAAAACCTCTGTGAGATATGCTACCTTCGTGGCATAGGTGAGCAAGCTGCAGCTCAGAGAGGGTGAGCAACCTGCCCAGATCACACAGCTCCAACGGGCCAGGCCGAGATTTGGGCCCAAGTCTGTCCTCCCCTAGACAGTGCCCGGCACACGGCAGGTGCTCTCTGCTTCGTGAATAAATCTTGAAAGAACAAGCGAGTGCTGGCCTCCCAGGCCCACGCAATCCCTAGCTTAGCTCACTGCATCACTCAGGACCTGTGACCCTGAAAGAGGGGTGATGTGGAGGTGGCAGGGGTGGCAGACAGGGCTGGTGCCTCCATCCCCATTTCTAGATCTTTCTACAGTGACCACAGTCTCACACTCAAAGAACGGTCCTCACTTTCGGGAGATGTCAAGATGCCTGTTTTACAGATGAGGAAACTGAGGCTCAGAGGCATCGGCAACGGGCCCAAGTTCTTGAAAGGAGGACCAAGCAGTTCTGGCCCTGGCAGCTGCTGCCCGTTCCTCTGGACCCCAGAGCACACCATCTGTCCTCATAACAGCACACGCCATGTTCAGAACTGTGTCCCAGCCAACGGTGCGCTGTGGAGCAGGGGGGCTCCATCACCCTTTCCTCGCCTCCCCGTGCCCAGCGCACAGTGGCGGGGGGGGGGGCCTGAGTAACGGTGGGGGCTGTTTAGAAAGCACTTGCCAGGCAGCACCAGCCTGGCAACCGATTCCACTTGGGCTGCCAAACCCCTCCCGTCAGGCGCATCAGGGCCCCTGAGGTTTCGGGCTTTGACATATTCAAATGCAAGACTGCGTGGATGCCGAGCTTCAGAGTCAGCGGCTGGGCTGCAGCTGGAAGGAGGGGTTCTCAGAGTGTCCTGCGCACCAGCACCAGGTTGGAAAACGAGGCATGGATTGGTGAGTGGAAAAGCAAGCAGCAGACAGATGTGCTTGGAATGGTATATGCACGTAAAAGAGACAGATAAGAATACTCTCTATTATGGGGATTCAAATATGAATGTTAGTGTGGTCATGGGGCCGGGAGTCCACACCAGATCGATGGGGACTTGGGGAGGGGACAGGGGACTGGGGGTAGGGACATGAGTCAAGGGGGCTTTCTTCCCTTGTCTGTATGTTTAAAAGAGGGTGTGTTTGTATATTGTGTAATTAAAAACTAATTTTGAAAACATGCACATGGTCCCTCTCTGCATCTCCCCCTCTCCCTCCCTCTGACATTAGCCATTGACATGGGTGGGCACCCAGGCCCCGCCCCAGGAGCTGACATTCCTGCGATATTCACCTGTAATGAAACTGCCCCCACGTGCCTTCTTCTTAGCCACACCCGGAGGAAGCAAGGTCGTGCCCACCGTGCAGCTGGCAAGACTAAGATTCAGCCCTCCGGTCACATATCTAAGCCACCTCAGTGGTGGAGCCAGGGCTCTGTCTATCCACACACTGCCTCTCCAAAATATGGGGTGAGTGTGATCTGTGTCAGGTGGTCTGTAGGGACAGTTTGGAAGAGAAAGCTGTTTGCCCAGGGCACCCCGAGAGGAGCTGGACCAGGCTATGGGGGGAGGGGTGGGCATGGCATGGGTTTCTTGGTGCAGAAGTGTCTGGTTGGGGGGTTACTCTAGCAATGACTGGAGGGGGGGTTACTTGCTCATCCCTCCCTTCATCACTGCGCAGCCAGGGAGGGGCATGTTCCTGTAGCAGGCACACCACCACGCTGCTCGGATAAGGCAGCTATCTACGGAGCACCTGCAACCCGCTCACCTGGCACCTAGCATGCTCCAGGGGAGGGCATGCTCCTGTAGCAGGCACACCACCACGCTGCTCGGATAAGGCCACTATGTACTGAGCACTTGCAACCCGCTCACCTGGCACCTAGCATGCTCCAGGGGAGGGCATGCTCCTGTAGCAGGCACACCACCACGCTGCTCGGATAAGGCCACTATCTATGGAGCACCTGCAACCCGCTCACCTGGCACTTTCCACACAGGAACTCATTTATTCTCACGATGACCTTTGGGATGGACGCTCACGGAATGCCAACACACAGACGAGAAAACTGCGGCACAAGGAGGTGCGTCTATTCCCAGCACCAAACCAGGAAGCGGGGAACCAGGATTCGAACACGGGCAGGCTGGTTTCTAGGCCTGCCCTCTTAGTGACCACGTGACACTGCTCAGTCATGTAAAGGATGGCCCAGCCCCACACCTCCGCCTGCCCCTCAGGCCTCAGCTCTCCCCTCCCTCCACCTCTCTGGCAGGGCTTACTGGTGAAGCACGAGGAGGCTTCCACTTACCAGCTGTGTTACCACCTGGAGCAACTTACTCTCTCTAGGCCTCAGTCTCCCCACCTGTAACATGGAGGCGAATACCCATTTCCTAGGTCCATTGTGAGGATTAAATAAATACATGCCAAGTTCTAAGACTGGGCCCAGGCACATAGCTCTTGGTACGTCTATCACATCGCCATTACTGTCATTACGGAGCCCCAGCATGGGCAGGGCTCCCGCCTGCCCTCTGGCTGACCACAACCCAGGTCCTGTTGCTACCACTCTGAGAGGTGGCAAAGGACATGGGGTGTCAAAAGACCTGAGCCCAGCACACTGACCACGGGCTCCGGAGCTCTGCGGAGTCACCGCCCCCAGGAGGCATGCAGCTGCCCCTCTGTTCCCTGGAGAGAAACATCCCCAGGGCCCATTTGCATCAGCTCCTCATCCGGAAGGCAGACCGGGAGTCGTGACTGACTGATCCAGAGTCAGACAGAACAGAATCTGGGCCCCGGCTCCACATTCGCTCGGGCAAGTAGTAACACCTCCCTGACCTGCACCGACCGGGCACAGGCGCTGGTGCTGACCTTCAGCTTAGACATTGGATATGCAAGTGCTTTGCAAACTGAAGTACCGAGCACACGCACGTGCGCGGCACCCACCTGTGAGGATGGAGAGCCGGCGCATGGCGGGGAAGGGGTGGTTGCCGGACGTGTCCAGGATGTCCAGCTGGTACATGTCCCCTCGGATGTTGTAGACCTTGCGATGGAAGTCCTCGATGGTGGGTGTGTACTGGTCCTCGAAGCGCCCGTTGAGGAAGCGGGAGACGATGGAGCTCTTGCCCACCCGCGAGGCGCCCAGCACCACCATGCGGTACGAGTTCTTGGCGGGCACGCTGAACGTGCAGTTCCCGCTGGACAAGGTCTTCATCATGGCTCGGGGCTGCGACAGAGAGCGGGGAGCAGGTGTCAGGAGGCCCCTTGAGGAAAGCCTCGGCCTCCCCTGCGCGGCTCCTGACTAGGTCTGTTCTCTGTCTGTAAAGTGGGGACGGTGGACCAGGGTCTCTCGAAGGGGTTTTGGGGTCCTGCCGGCTCACTCATTCACACCCTCGTTTCTTTCCTCCTTCATTCATCCACTCACTCGCTCATTCACGGATGCCCTAACTTACCCCAGCAACACACTGCTAGGGCTTGAATCCTCATTTCATCACCAACTCACTTTTGCTCCCGGGCAAGCAGTCTAACTTCCCCAAGAGTCACTTTTCTCATCTATAAAATGGGCTTAAGTCCCAGGGTTGTGGTCAAGGGCCAGTGAGTGTTCAGAGCTCAGAGACGTTAACTCTCGTTAGAATCCGTTCTCTCTCGGACCCACCGTCCTCTCCCTCTCAGCTTCCCAGAAGAAGCCTGGGTCCCAGGGCCCGACGTGGGGGAGGCACCGTGAGCATCGAGCGGGGGCGCCGCGCCTTGCAGCCCTCCCCGGGGAACAGAGCAGCAGTTCAGACCACATCCTTCCTGCCAGAGCACGGGCTGCCCGGCAAGCTTCGCCCCTGGGCCCTGGGAGCTGGCCTATCTCAGGGACCCGAGACCCGCACTAGGGGGTGTGAGTCAGAGAAATGACCCACGGACAACTCAACTCCCTTACAACTCCAAGGGTTTATGGTTCTGGATAGACCCAGAACTTTCTATGGGAGCCTCCTGGCCTATGGAAGAGGCTGAAATGAATCCACGCTCCGAACCTCCAGGGGCTCCATCAGGCTACCCCAGACACCCTCCTTTCCCATCTCAGTACCCATCAGAACCCCCCAGGCCCCGGGGTCCCAGGCATGCCGAACGGTTGGAGCTCTGCTCAGATCTGCCTCCCCTCCTTAGCTCAGGCGCGTCCCTCCCTGGAACGCCCCTTCCCTTACAGGGTCTGGCTCAAATGCCCCTCCTGTCTGAAGGCTTCTCTGACCCCCACACCCACCCCAGCAGGAATCCCTCCCCTCTCTGGAGAAGAGGAACCTCAAATGATTCAGGCTGAATTATGGGTCCCCAGGCTGCCGCACACGGCGGCGGGGCAGGCTCGGGGGAAACCGGGGCTGCTTTTGTGGAGCTCAGAGTCACAAAGGGCTGCAGGTGGCGCTCCGCCTGGCCCCCAGCCCCGGGTGCCCCCGGCTGGGAGCCTGGAGCGCCTCGCTCGGCTACCCGAAGGCTATCTCCAGCATCACACTGTTCTGTTCGCCATGATGCCAGGAGACCGGGGTGGGGGCGGCTTCTGCGTGCCAGTCTCCTAGCACACGTCCTGTTCAGGGCACTTGGGCGTCCGAATCTGCCCACTATCCAGCTGAGGGCTGCTGGGCGGTAAACGGGCTCTCAAAAATACCTTTGAAAAAGCTCTAATGGGTAGCGTTTGTCGATTCCCACGAGGACGCACATACTGCCACTGTGGCTGATTCGAAGCTACAAGATGATGTCAATGAACGAATCGCAAAGAGATGCACACAGTGAGCCTGCTCGGCACACCGCAGACCCCAGGCCTGGAGCCAGGGTAACAGTCACCATTAACCCAGCCCCCACCGCGTGCCAAGCGCTGGGCTAAGTACAGAATAATGATAGCTGACGTTGAGTTTGCAGTTAACGTACACCAGCATATTCTAAGTGATGAACATGTAACAACCCGCTTCATCCTCAGTAATCCTAGAAAGCTGGTGAAGTTATCCCAGTTCACAGAGGAGATGGAAGTACAGAGAAGTTCGGTAACTTGCTCATGGTTACACGGCCTATAACCAGCCAAAGAGAGACTGGACGGCAGGCAGGCTGCCCGGTGCTATGGTGCCTCCTCGCCACTTCCCTGTGAGGTACATATTATCTTCCCCATTTCATAAATAAGGGCCCAGGTGCTTAAAAGCTACGTGGCTGGCCCATGAGTTAATGAGGGAGCCAGGACAGTGACTCCAGCCTAAGACCCCATCATCAGCTGCCCAGTTCATGTCTGAAGCCATCTTTCAGTTTACCCCACAGGATTTCAGTGCTGTGTACACAGCAGGTGTCAGTGCGTGATCCATGAATGAATGAAGCAAACAGCTCTGCCTCGGGAGCCCCTCTAGGACCTTCTCCCTCCACCCCCATCCTGCCTGGCTGGCCCAGGGGCTGTGATGAGAAGGGTCTTGGTGCCCTGGGCACCCTCATAGGTGGGCAGTGGGGAGCAGGGCCTACAAGATCAATAGCAGTGGACCCTTCTCAGTTTCCTTGGGGGTTGGGTGAGCCAGCCTGGGCCTTCAGCAGAGATGGGGGAAAGAGGCCCCACATCAGACGTCCCCCTCCCCAAGTCCCTCTGCAGGGAGCTTGACTCTGCTGGTGGTCACCTCTGTCTAGACTGAGAGGGAAGAAAGCCAGAGCCCCCAGGGACAGTGTTTGTCTCCATCACTGCCTGCCCCAGCTTCTACTCCTTCTACAGACGTGCTAATGTCAGTGACCAAAGGGGCTAAGGTGCAGAGAGAGGAGGCAGGGAGTCAGAGAGAGGAGACAGGGAGTCAGAGAGAGGAGGCAGGGAGTCAGAGAGAGGAGACAGGGAGTCCGAGAGGAGACAGGGAGTCAAAGAGAGGAGGCAGGGAGTCAGAAAGAAGAGACAGGGGCTCAGAGAGGAGACAGGGAGTCCGAGAGAGGAGACAGGGGCTCAGAGAGGAGACGGGGGTCAGAGAGAGGAGGCAGGGAGTCAGAGAGAGGAGGCAGGGAGTCAGAGAGAGGAGACAGGGAGTCAGAAAGAAGAGACAGGGGCTCAGAGAGGAGACAGGGAGTCCGAGAGAGGAGACAGGGGCTCAGAGAGGAGACGGGGGTCAGAGAGAGGAGGCAGAGGCTCAGAGAGAGGAGACAGGGAGTCCGAGAGAGGAGACAGGGAGTCAGAGAGGAGACAGGGAGTCAGAGAGAGGAGGCAGGGAGTCAGAGAGAGGAGACAGGGAGTCAGAAAGAAGAGACAGGGGCTCAGAGAGGAGACAGAGGCTCAGAGAGGAGACAGGGAGTCTGAGAGAGGAGACAGGGGCTCAGAGAGGAGACAGAGGCTCAGAGAGGAGACAGGGAATCTGAGAGAGGAGGCAGGGAGTCAGAGAGAGGAGACAGGGGGTCAGAGAGGAGACAGGGAGTCCGAGAGAGGAGACAGGGGCTCAGAGAGGAGACAGGGAGTCAGAAAGAAGAGACGGGGGTCAGAGAGGCAAACGAGGAGGTGAGAGATCTGCGGCTTTCTTCTTTGAGAGAAGAATGTGAGTCTTCACGTGGCCTCAACCACGTGGGGCTATGTGAGGTACCCAGGCACCTAGACACCAGGTGATAGCACCTCTGTGGGCTCCACCCCGCCCCCGTCTCTCTTCCCTTCTCCCCCAGGGGAGGTGCTGTGGGCACAGCCTCTCTCCTCCGCTGCCTGCTCCTCTCTACCTTCAGCCAGGCTGACAGCTCCACAGTGAGGAGACAGGGGCCAGAGTTCCAAGGCCCTTTTAGAGTTCAGAGTCCCACCTGGTGGTTAATGGGGACCGATAGCAGCATGGCTACCCGAATGCAGGTTCTGTGCCTTGGCAGACCCCCACCCCCGAGTGATTCCAAGGGCACCCAGGAGGCAGAAGGGCCTGAAGCAGAGAAGGGGTGGGGCCATCCTGGGGGAACAGTCGCCACAGCCAGGCAGGCTTCCATCACGCTCGGTACTCGGGGCACCTCATTCCAGTGGCTCCACAACAGCCCCACGCGGAGGAGTCCGGTGCACACAGATGACCGGCCAGGCCGGGATTAAAATCAGGCCGTGGGCTCCAAAGCCTGGGCTCTTACGTCTGTGGAGACTCACTCCCAGACCAAAGCCGGAGCCTTTCAAGCCTGTCTGACTCAGTGAAGCCTCAGCTGGAGTCAGGCAGGGGAAGTGACCCCCGAGGCCTATTATATTCTCATTCCCTCTCTCCCTACAGGCAGCCGGGTGCAGGCACCCTGCCCAGGACTCTCCTCCAAACCCTGCTCAGCAGCTCCCAGCAAACGCATCTGTGGATTCGCCCCTTCCTCCTTGAGCCCCTCCCCCAGGGCCTGCCTGGACGATGGAGGAGTCAGGTGAGCAAGGACAGCGGGATGAGTCTGGACGTGTCCTCCTCCCTGTGAGCACCCAGAGCTCCTGTCACTGCACTGCCCTCTCCTCCCTCCCACACACAGAAAGTCTCCTCCGCTAGGGCACATCCCAGCCTCTCAGCACACACGGATTCACTGGCTTCCATGCCCACACTGGGATGGGTCCTGGGGTCTCTGCAGAGCCCACCTCACCACCCTTGGTGGCTCAGGATGGAAGAAAGCAGGCAGGCATCAATGGTCAGCAAACCAGCTCGGCCTTTCACCAGCTCAGCAACCTTGGGCAAATGGCCTGGCCTGGTGGGGCTGGTCATCTCTCAAAGGGATATGGTAGAAACAAACCCAGTGTGGCCCTGAGAGGCCAGTGAGAAGCCAAGAGGCCGATACAGCTCCTGGCACACAGCAAGTGGGTCCCTTGCTCCGTGGCACTTCGTAGCAGTCAAGGGGCTTCCTGAAGCAGCCAAGTAGGGTGGGACTAGAGTGCAGGCAGAGGTGTTGGGGGACCCCATCTTGTCTCTCTGATGCCAGGAAGCCTGAACCACGAACTCCTGACCTGGCTGCCCTTCCCAGCCCAGCCTCCTACCTCCCACCTCCCACCTCCCACGAGGTCCTGGATAATATCCTTCATCCTCCTCCCAGGGCAAAGGGAGGAGAGGTCAGAGGGAGCCCCTCAGAGGTGCTTAGGGGCCCTCTGGCCAGCTGAGTACAGGACCCCCATCCTGTGAAGGGCATCACTCAGGAAACTCACTCCTTGCATCAACCCAGAAAAAGCTAAAGGACACGGAAGGTGCTCTTTAGTCCTCCCTGCTCAGAGGAGGTCCTCATCCAGGTGGGTGGGCACCAAGTGGCTGCACCCCAGCCTCACCCCCCTTCCAGGTATGCAGGCAGCAGCTGGCTCAGGAAGGGAAGGGGGTGGTGGGAGTGTTTGGGGGAGGTAAGTGCCTCTTCTTCCCTGAAAATCAGTGTTCTCATTTTTCTTCATTGGAAGCTCCTAGCACCAATCAATAAGAGTACAAGTTCAATAAGTTTTTCCTATCAGGCCTAACTAAGGGAAGGGCCCAGCACCCAGCCTAACGCATAGTAGGTGTTCAACTAATGTAATTTTCTCTAGATATGCAAAGTTGCCATCCGGACCTAACAGGCAGTAGGAGCTCAGTCAGTTTTACTGTGCTCGTCATGAAAGCTTCACTTCGCTTTCCTCCAACAAGCCTTCGACCTTTTCTCCTGGCTTCCCCACGTCACCCAGCGCCCCAGTTCTGTCGGTTGTCTCTCTCCTACCTGGGAATGGCGGGCCGGGTCTCTGGTTCGGCTCAGAGGGCTGCCTGGAAGCGCCTGGAGATGCGGGGAACAGCCTGCCTCTCCGGCCGCCGAGCCTTCCAGGATCTTCGGCTCCCGGGTCACTGCGCCGGGCTCCTCTGCGCCGCTTGGGGCGCCGGGCTGGGCGCAACCGGGCGAGGGGGCACGGGGAGCCGGTGCCCCATCGGTGGGCTCCGAAGGCTCAGTGGGGCCTGGGCACTGGGCGGGCTCCGGCTCGCTGACGCCGGCCCTGCCCTGCCCCGACCCGGGAGACTCCTGCTGAGCCAGGTGCCCGGAGGCGCGGAGACGTCGGATCCCGGGGTCCCCGCCTGGGGCTCCGGGCTGGAGGGAGAGCAGTAGGGGAGACTCTGGGGCTTAAAGAGAGTCGTTAGAGACTCTGGAGGGCCCTTCGGAGGTGGCTGTGGGTGCGTGCGTGGACGGGCGCACCCGTCCTGGCGACCTGCGCTACCGACCAACCACCCCGAGGGGGCCGCTCGGGCGGGGAGCTGCTCGGCCGGCGCGGCGTCCTCCTCTGCCCGCAGCCCTGCGGCTCCCGCGCGGGGGGAAGGCTCCTCCGAGGCCCTGCCCGGCGATGCCAGCGGCTGGAAGGAGCAGGCGCCGAGCTCCGCGCGTGTGGGAGGGGGCCTTGAACGCCGCCGCCAGGGCTCGCAGCTCCGAGCGCGTCTGAAGCGACTCCGGGTCCCCCCGGGCGGCGAACTTTCGTCGGAGGCGCCCCGCTACTCCTTCCTTCTCTTCCGACGGCGAGCGCCCCAGGAGCGAGGTCAGTGTCCCTCGGAGGAGTGGCCGGAGCCCAGGCTCCTGATGGCGGTCGCGGCGGCAGGTGCCCTGCACTGGTCTGGGCGCCCTCCGCGTCCCTGTGACAGTCCCTGTGACAGTCCCTCCGCCGACCCGTCGCGCGGCGCCCACCCACCCACTCTGCTGCTCCGAGCCGCCAGTCCCACAGCTCCGCGCGGGCCTCCCCTCCCCGGGCCCGCTCACCCGCCTTCGCCCGGAGCCCCGCCCCCGGCTCTGCGCTCGACCAATGGGCGGCGGGTCCCGCTGCCTGGCCCCGCCCCGCCCGTCCTGCCCCCGACCGCCCGGGCGCCGCAGTCTGGCGCTCCGCGTGCCCGGGCGCGTGGGGCCGGGGCCGCTGCGGGGGGTGGCCGGGGACGCGCGCTGTGACCGGAAGGCGGCACGGGCCCGGGAGGCTGACGTCTGCGCTCGCACTCACACGCACACCGCCGCGGCCTCAGGTGACTTGCGAGGGTCCCTCTGCCAGTCGGCCGAGGGCCCCAGCTGCTGGCTCCCGCGCCCTGCTCCATCGCAGAAGCCCCCAGGTGCGCAGCTACACGCCCTGAGCGCAGCCTGCCGAGGTCTCGGCCCGCGGGACCGCCCGAGATGGCACATGGGCGGCGCACGTGCCGCCAGAAGGGGCCTCGGACTCACCTTGGCCGAACGCGCCTGAATGGAGGTCTGCGGGACGTGTAGTCTGGGGGAGCGCTAGAGAGGGACCTGCGGGGACCTACGGGGGCTCCTGGGCAGAGCCTCTCCCACCTCCGTCCTCCCCACCGTGCACGAGGGCAGGCGTCAGTCATTCTCATTGTGCCAAATCTAGACACCATTTATTAGTATTTTCTTTAAATCCGAGACCCAGGTTTTCCTTTGAGAATCGTCACTGCCTTAAATGGGAAACCAGTATCAATTGCCATAAATAGAAGGTAAGAGTAAAAATAAGCACAATGAAAACAAACTAAGGTTATTAATTCTAGTTGGAAACTGGTCTGCCAAGGCCTGAGATGTGCCCTCTGTGAACAGGAGATTGGCACGGGTTGCAGAGGTGTTAAAGGCCCATTAGCATCCAACAGAGACTTTCTCCAGCATGCTATCCAGAGGCCAAAAAGAGAACGTTCCCTCTGTGATGCAGTGAAGTGACGTAATACGGGGCCTGTCAGACCACATTTTGTGTCAACCAGGGAACTTCCCCACACTTCCAGAACCCTGGAATTGGAGGATGTCTGCCAATCCTCCCCCCATGGACAGACTTATCCTCCCACCTCTTGATAAACGGTGGGGATCTGGGGGCACCAGACTGAAGGACCAGCTCTGTTAAATGAGAGTTTGGCATTCAAGCCCTACTTCAGGAACCTCTCAAATATTCGGCCCTGGGCCAGTCATGGAAATTCTCTGGGCCTTGGTTGTGCCACCTACAAAATGGGTATGATATGCACAGAGTGACAAAAATACTAACATGGTCTTGGACTTGGATCATAGAAAGTGGCTTGCTCCTCTTGTCCCTGTGCAGCCTTGAGATTCTCCAGGGAAGTTAACTAGAGAAGATGCGGCAGGTGGAGGGGGAAGGGCTGGTCAGAGGGCACAGCACTTGCCCTTCTTGTGTTTAATCCCCTAACTGGGGGAAGTGAACTCTAGGGCTCAGAGGGGCAAAGGGATGTAAATGCCCAAGGTCACTCAGCCGGCAAGCGGCAGGATCCCAGCCCCATGCTCTTTCCACATCCAGTTTGCTTCTTGGAACTGGCTTCAGCCCAGGAGGGTTTGTGCTCAGCTTGACGCAAAGAGGTTATGAACCTTGAGCGGGCCATGAACTTGGCAGTGGGAGGCAGGCAGGGCGGCACACTTCACCTGGGGTCAGGAGGACTCGAGCCAGATCTGAGCCTGTCCAGGAACCCATTACCTACTGCTTCAGCCGAATTCTTCACCCTGAGTGGGTCGTGCTCCACTGACCACATCCCCATATTGAGGGTTGCTGCATGTGGAGCTGTGGGGTCCCGGGAGACCCACCTGTTCCTGTCCATACCCCTGCCCTCCCCCAGCACAGAGCGCTCAGTCAATAAGCAGGTGCACATAAGGGATCAATGCCCAAAGAAGCTTCACGTGGCAACAGTGCACCTCCCATGTGTGCCCACTTTCCTGTCCTCCCCCAATTTGCCTCACCATCTCACATGGACCATTTGTCATAGTCACCTCCTTCCTTACTGGGCCCCTTGTCAACCCCTCTCTCATAACCCATGACCACTTTAATCATTTTCTAAAAACACCACCTCCTGCTCAATAATTTTCAGTGGCTCCCCATTGCTTAATATATAAAATCAAAACTCCTTAGCTCAGTATAGAAGGCCTCCAACCAGGATCTGATTCTCATCATGTCCTACCATCAGCCTGCATTTCAGCCAATTCAAACCTCTTCTGGGTCATTAAAGAAGCTGGGATTTCCTTCCTCCGGGCCTTTGTGTATGCGGATCCCTCTATCTAGGATGCCTTTTTCTCTGTCTTTATCATTGAACTTCTACACATCCTTCAAAGAATAATGTCCACAACTCTACCCACAACAGTGTGAGTCTCATCCTCCTCTGGGCTCCCTTGGCAACAAAACCTGGGTAACTAACCATCCCTTTAAGCTTCACCTGTCAAATGAGTGTTATAATAGTAGCTATAATAACTACTGGGAGGTTGGGTTGGAAGGATTAAAATATCCTGTAAAGTACCTGCAGTTGGGGGCTTTGTACACAGTGGCCTTCATCATGATTACTTCCTGGTGGTCTGTGTTACCTCCAGCCTCACGTTTCGGACTCATGCCCGTTACCCTCATCAGCGTGTGAGCTCCTTGGAGTGGGGATGAGCCTGATTCAGCTCTGTATTCCCACATCACCGAGGGCCGCTTCTTGCACGTTGTGAGTTTTTAATAAATGCTTATTGAATTCTGGTCAGCTGAACAGCCTCAGAGCAGAAGAAATGCATGCGTTCTCCTTGGAGACAAGAGGAAGGAAGGGCCGGGCAGACACAGCGAGGCAGAATTTCATTGAGTCCTAACCCCATGTATAGCAGGGGAAACTGAGGCTCGAGGAGGCTGTTCCAAGCCTGGCAGCTAATGAGAGGCTGAGCTGAGATCCGAGAGACATTTCTCCAAAGGGATAGAAGGTGTTTGCCCAATCAGTGTCCTGTCACATTCCCAGCTACTTTTCTAGAACAGTGGTTTCTATTCCAGGGGGAACGTAAGAATCACCTGGGGGAGATGCTAAGCAATAATAAAGCCCAGGCTCCCGCTCAGAGATGCTGATTTCATTGCTCGGGGATTTAATCTGCCTGATATCCACACTGTTTAAAGCTCCCCAAGTAATTCTAAAGTGCAGCCAGAGTTGCTAGAACAGTGGTTCCCAAAGTGTGGTTCCTGAACCAGCAGCGTCAGCATCACCTACGACTTGGTGGAAATACAGGTCTCACCCCAGACCACTGAATTGGAAGCTCTGGGATGGAGCCCAGTCTTCTGGGTTTTAACAGCCCTCCCAGCAATTCCAACATATGCCAAAGTTTGAGAACCACTGACCAGAAGATGAGAGTGGGCAAAATCTTAGAGGTCATATGGCCCGACCTTCCCATCTTGTAGACAACGAGATGGTTTGTGGCTTGACCAAGTTCAACACATGTCAATGGCAGGCTAGACCCAGAACCAGGTTCCAGCTCCGAGCACAGTGTTCTTTCTTGCTGAATGCACCATCCAGGGTTGCACAGTCTCTAACTGGGTTTCTGGCCTCGGCAGGCCGTGCTTCCAAGCATGATGTGCACACCTCTCCCCACAACAAATCCACTTCGAGCCTATGGCAGAAGTCAATGTGTCACCAGCTGCACAGGCCCAGCTGGATCAAGGGCACAGAGTCAGGTGCCAGCCAGTGCAGAGAACAGCCTGGCACCATGCCCTCTATTACAGAACCTTGCCAAACATCCCTGAAGCCAGAGTAATAAGGACAACATCCCTGGAGGTAGAGTAGTAAAGACAGAGGGGCGCCCTCAGGCCAAAGGTCAGCAGGGACACAGTTGAACCAGCCACAACCTGTGCCCTCCCCTTCATCTGACCCCATCTGCCTCCTGCTGAGCATAGAGATGGTACTTATCACACAGTAGATGTTCAGTAAAAATTCAATGAATGAATAGTGGTCAGTTTCCTCTTCTTTGCAACAAGAATGTTGGGTCAGATCCTCTCTGAGGCCCCACCTGATCCCACATTTCTAAGCTGGCTGAACCCCACTCCAGGAGACTCTGGTGCCTTCTGGCCCAGATGTAGTCCT